AGTGGCGGGGGAGACCTCCTCTTTCGATCCCACCCACCCCATCATCTAGACATTTACCAAAACATCTAATTTTTGTGCCAATAACTTTTTCAATAAAATGTCATCTTAGTTATTATTTATTAATTTAATTAGGCATTTTTTGACGTTTCTTATTTACTTAACTGTCCATAATGAGTGACCTAATTAAGTTAATTTTTCTGACTACCAGAATCGCTGTGGCATGGGGCGTTATCTCATCTCCAAAGAATTATTTACTTAAATATGATTAATAAAGTTTATCTTTTCCATTTCGTCGAATTCGAACTCCTACGTCTCTCGTTGACCTCCTGGGGCTCGAACGCATGACCACCACCACCGCAATGGCAATACCACAATAATTTAATAACTAATGCCGTCATATTACCAAATGCCCATTAAGCAAAGTTCACGCGTGTTCACCTCTTCGTCATCGACCAATTAAAAAACTAGAGTGGCAATTAGACGTAGCCTCAATTAATTAACTTAATTTAACAATCCCACTCTACTACCCCATACCCTCCGCCCATGGCCGTACTTCGCCCATACACTTTGCCACTTTAAATCCAATAACAAAAACAATCGTCGCACATAAGTGCACATAACCATGGCAACAGAGAGTGTCTTATCAACAAATCTTATATTTGTTGCTTAATTTGGAACTTACAGCGACAGTCAGTTGTAGTCGCAGTGTATTGAATGTAGGCACTGTCCGCTACAAGCGATATATTTATGTAAGTAGCATCGGCGCAAAAACCGTATCACATTCGTACGTATGTATGTACGTATAAAACTTTTACTCGCGTATTTAGAGATATAATAATTTCGTGCGTTTCGAAGTGTATCAAAGCAGGCTCGGTGCATGCTTGCGCTTGTCTTGTGGTGCGACATTGTTGGTGTCATAGTAATAATATCGTTATTATTTGGTTTAGAATCGCGCTCTTCCGGTTTTAAATAGTGCTAACAGCGGAAGTATGGAAAATGGGTGAATCAAGTGTGCGTAATTGGATTCGCGGGATCCGTTTCACTCCGGAAAACTACGACAAGAGCGTTTTCTACGTCGACCACAACCAAAAAGATAACTCGTTTCATCCAATCATATCGGCCACGACAACAAATGATAACGAACGAAAACAAACGATACTACAGTTTAATAACAAAGGCCCAACAATGGACGATTTCAGGACCGTTAGTTTTTCGTCATTCAAACCCCAAACGGAAAGAAGAAGAAAGATTAATGGTGGCGGTGGTGTTGTTTTAGAAACGATCGAAGAAAGTAGCGTGGGAATTCCGAAAAGTGATTGCGTTTTCGACAATAAAGTCCCTTCGGCGTCGGCAACGGGAAGAAATGAAAGTGCCGTTAGCACCTGGACGAAAGTTCTTCACACGGCACCACTCGAAAGGGAAAATCCCGAAGTTGTTATTGGCGCTAATTATAACGGTGATAACGATGCAAGTTCGTCGACTGTAAGTGATTTAAAAAACAAACCAGTCGCCGGTGAAAGTGAAACATCATGTACGAATTGTCAGTTAGGTGTAGACGTTGCACGAAGCAGTATTTACCCGATTTCTTTGAGTGAACACGGCAGTGTGGTTGACGATGACGAAATAGCATTTGATACATCATCGGATGAATCATGCGACACCCATGGAAATCCTCTCGAAGAAACCGATTGTTCAAAACCACAAGGTACATCTTCGCTTAACGAAAAAATGACAAATGTAAGAATGAAGGGTGAAATAGTTGAGGAGATTCCAGAACCAAGAGACGATAATGTGCAATATTCAGTCGACTGTAATGAGCCAATTTATGTGAATTTAGCACAAATGAAAAATACGTTCAACATTGACTACTCTTCAAATAATTTCGATAAACACCTGGAAGATGAAGACGACGATTTTGACTTTATAGAAGAAAGTATGAGAAGAAGACCTGGGGAAGGTCTTAAAAGAAACACGAAGTCGTTGAGAAGAAAGAGATATGCCATAATGGACGATTCTTTGAGATTTAACATCGAAACGAAATGGAAAACTCTTCCAAATGTAGTTGAAAATGAATCGTACAACACCAGTGTATTATGTGGTACTCCCGACAGTGCAAAGAAATCCAACGATTCCTTAGATTCGATTAGCTGGAAATCCACCCGAAGTACTTTAATGGTCGACGACAATATTTTTCCAAATCGCCCAGAATCATTTCCTGATGATGTTTCTTCGGATTCGGTCAGTTGGAAGTCAAGTAACAGTTTCGCCATCACAACAAAAAGCAGCGATTCTCTAGAAGAAACCAAAGATTCAGGAACATTAGAAAATCTGTCCAACAAAAAGAAATTAGATTCCACTGAAGAGGAGATCCGAGAAAGAGCCGTCCTGTCGGATTTCAGAAGACACGCTATTCTAGAAACCTTCAACGATCACATCTACATGAACCAGCGTCAAATAATGCAACCTTACAGTTATATACAAGAATGCATTCCTGAACCAACGTACCAAATAGGAAATACTGGCCGACAGGACATAGAAGAAACTGAAACTGGTTCATATTCTTCAAACGATTCAAAATCGGACGCTTTAGAAGACCTGACCTTTACCGGTGAAATGTGCAATAATGAAATAAGTGAAACCGACCACGTCAGAAGTGAAACAATTGACTACTGTAACAATGAAGAGACTTACGAAAACATTTGGGAGTGCGTCAGTAGTAGTAGCAGTAGTAATAGTAAAAGTGGTAACAATAACAGTAGCAACTGTAGTTTTCTTGAGGCTAAACAATTGTCTGTGAAACACGCGCTTGTGTGTCTACAGCCCGTCGAATTTGAAATAGTGAATGAACTTCTTGTGGCTCCTGTAACATTTGCCCAGGCTGCTTTCGGGAATGTTTTGCAGTGGCAGAAGGATTTGGAGGACCAGTATTGTAGTGAAGAGAGCCTTTGTCAGGTAATTAAAAAATAACTACATTTGTGTTTATCTTTTATCGCCTAGACTACGGACGTTTCGTCTCTAAAGCGTCTTTTCTTCAAGATATTTTAAAATAACGCGTTTTTTTGTAGTTTTCTTTCTTGTACAGAAAAAAAGAAAATTTAGATGTGAGTTTTTGGGATTCCATGTTTTCGGGGAATTCTCAATGTTACTGTTGTCTTATGGTAAATGTACACGGAGAAAAGTAAACTTTTATGACTATGTAAAAATTACAATTTTCTATTGCGTATGACTGAATTTGACGTAGAAATAGTAGAATTTATTAGGTCACTTGTAATAATCTCAATTTTGTCATGTTTTTTTAAAAATTGAGTTTCTTAATTATTACAATTTAATTTGTAATATCAACTACAATAACCTACTAAATTTATTTCTGCAAATTTACAAATTCGGGTCCAAATTATAAATATCCCTTTAACATTTAGGTATTCCATCTGAATCGAATCGTATCGTATTGGTCAAAAAAAGGGCATTTTTCCATCTATGTATCTACCCCGTTGTAAAAATGATTTATGACTTCTATTTATACTTACTATACTTTGTAATATTTTTTGAGCCATTTACAGTGTAAATTTTAAGGTAAAGACTAATAAAACTCTAGTAGGGGGTTGTAAGCTGTAAATGCGTCACTGTCATATCTTAAAAGTGATTAAATACACGAGTGGTAATTTAAGCAGATTGTAAATAACAAAACAATTAATTATGAAGTGCATTTTGTTATCTTTTGCGTGAAATTAAGTATTGTTATTATTAAACATGTACTTATTAAAATTAATTTCGTCGTTGTTCTGCTTCCTGTTATTTGTTGTTAACTAGCAAAATAACTTTGACCCGCGGCTTCGTCCACATAAAATTATGTACTTTTAATTGTTCATAATAAGTGCAATCATTATAACAAATAATCGATTAAAAAGTATAAGATATGATGATGTTACAGATTAACAGTATTTAAACTAACTTCTTTCGCAGAGTGTTGCACAATTTTTTTATGTATGTTTCTGTTCTTAATACGGAATTGAACTAAATTGTCAACTGTGCTTGATAATTTTAATTAATTAATTAATTACTTATTTAATACCGGAAATTGTTTCAAGCCGTCATCAGCTTGCCAGAAATGGTATGACATCAGCGTCCGTTCCCATGAAGAACTACATAATTAACTAAGAATGCAACATTTTAAAAAAAATATTACGCAAAAATGATAAAAAGTATGGCGGTATGTATTCAAAAGATTGAAATATAGAAATGACGAGAGCATTTAGTCTGGATTTCATCTGCGTCAGACTATTTCTAATTGTTTATAGCAAATATAATTGTTATAAGCAATAAATAATTTAAAATTGTACCCTACATCACTCCTGACAAT